CAATGGGGATGTTGTTTCTTTCCCGTCATCAGGCAAGGGGAGTTTTCCACCTTATATGGTTAGGCCCGGATGTGTTGTGGTGTCCAAAGGCCATAGCGAGTGGGGGTGATGGTGGTGATGGAACTATAATGTATAATGTGTCCCGTGTTGTTATATTTCTTGTGATAGTTGTGGTTACCCTTTATCCTGTTATTGTTACAGTATGTTCTCTTACTCACCATCCCATTTGTTTACATTGCTTGCTTTTGAATTTTTCTCTGTTCATATCTTACTTTTCTTACACTAACATTTTGTGACACTTACAGGTACCCTTATCTTGCAGTGTGTTTTCTTACTCAGTAGCCCATTTGTTTACATGGCCCATTCTGTACTTCCTCTGCATATGTCTTGCTAACACTGCCACAGAACCTCTGCTGGATGAGTAAGCTGAAGTAAGTCTGACTGGGCCCCCAGCATTCAGTGCCTGTCACACCTGGGACAAAACCTTTGCTTTGTGAGTTGGCTAGGTGGAAGAATGGAACATCTGACCTCTCAACTGTACTTGCCTGGAATTTAGCTCCCACAACATGGACTTGGGTGTGAGATGAGAAATTTTTGTGGCCTGCCCCTCATGGGGGGAAATACAGTACTTTTTGACAGGGAATGGGAGGAACTCTATCTTCTTAGTCACGCTTTGCCAGTGCAAAAGTTCCATGATGCTGAGGCAGGAAAACACGGGGGAGGACATGCATTGTGGCTCACATGCTACAGACCCCCAGTGTTCTTAATGAGATTTAGATTTTCTTGAATAAATGTTTCTTCATTTGCTGTGTGCCATTAGGACAATTGCCAGGGACTTAAAGTGGTTATAATTTTCGCCAGTTATGGCTGTTTTACTGGAAAGTAGGAACACAGATCTCATACCATCATTTTGGAAGTAGAATTGTGGCTTTTTTTTTTAAGAGTCTCTGTCCTTGCTGACAAAATTTCAGATCTCATGATGACTCCTCAAGGCATTTTGGGGCAGCCCTGACAGCCAACATCACTTGCAGTGATGCTAGGTCAGAGATAATAGAGAACTCAGGGGAGGCGGAAGAAAAAAATGACTGATAAAAGCAATGAGAGCAACAATGTCACTGAAGACTTTTAAAAATGAAACCATTCTTATATAGTCAACATTTCAGTCTTGAGATTTCTTTTTATGAAAGATGAATCCCCTTTCCACCTCAATCCTATTAAGTGGTACTGATTTAAAATCTATTCATTTCCTTTACATTACAAACTAGTATTTTCAAACCATTATAACCATATTAAAAAGGTGCTCTGCATAGTTACACTTGAACTAAAAGGCTTCCTTCAGTTGAACATTCAGTTCATAACAATTGAACTGAATAATTATGAATAATTCAGTAGAATTATTCCCACCCATGTCCTACAGATCTCCTGTTCTTCCCTTTCTCCCACAAGAGATTGCAACTTACCTGCAAAACCAGGAACTATGATTGCTTTACTGTGTGACTTGCCCCCTTTTCCTGCTAATTATAGGAATTTCCTACAAACTATTGCTTGACTTTCTTACCCTAGATAAAAAATTAATAAAAGTTATTTTGCAAGTATATTTTAATTTAGAATGTGCTATTTTAAGCAAATATTGTTTTCAGTAAAGTTTTAAATAGCATGATTTAGCCACAAAATGTTTTCATTTCTTTCTTTGTTAAACTTTGTCTCCCTAATATAAAACAATTAATCCAATGATGATTAATATCTATTTCTCTGTGTCATAGTGGTATATAAGACAACAAAATGCAATTCTGCATAGTAAATCCTCAAGCCTTGAATTTCTAGTGCTAAAAAAGCAGAGAGCCATTAACCTCTTCGGTACGGCACTCACCGGCCGTGAAACCTTGCCCACAGCTGGCACTCATAGTTCGCATGATAGTTTGTGCTGTGCATTGATGACGAAATCGTTTTGCTCTTGTGTGATGAGGAAAGATTTAAAGCACTGAAAGCTTGTTTTACTTTACAGGCAGCTTTACCTGTAATGTAAATCAGAATAGGTAACATATACATATGTTTTTATTACATTATTTTTAAATGTTCACAATTTTATTTTGATAAATGAAAAATTAGAAAAGTCATATCATGGCTGTCGGCTACAGCCGATGCTCGTCTGTGTGCCTTCATATCATGACTCTCAGCTAAAGTTGACATTTGGTTCATCTGTGGCTATTGACTATCGTCAACGCTCAGCTGTGCACTTTCATCTGTGGCTGTCGACTATAGTTGATGCTCATATCGAAGCGGTTATGGGTGTATGTGTGTGTGAACACACACACACAAAGTGACTGAGTCTTGGTCATGAAGTTGGTAAACTCTTTTTTTAGATGCTGGCAAGGCTAAATTCTATTTTAATATCCTCCAAACAAAATCATTGGTAAAGCCCAAAATATTCAGGTAAGTCTTACTTGTTCCTCTTTTGCCCTCAAATCACATAATATGCCCTGGAACCAGAATGCAAGAATAGGAGAATTGTTGGTACTACTTTATTGTTCCCTACAGGCAATGAATAAGCCTCTCTGTTTCTTTCTAAGTTCCAAGATTTGGGTACACAGTTTACTTAGTAAAAATTTCAAAAATGGAATAGGCTATTTATAATTCCTCTGGCCAGCTCGGAGACTATTCTTCAAAATTCATACTTTCGTGACTCACCTCTACCTTGGTTATCAATGGGGTTTTGAAATTCCATTTTCTCCACCTTGCCAGAAAAAAAATCCAGTTTGACTCTCTCCCATCCTACCTCATACATACTTGCATAATTCCATTGCAATTTGTTATACCCTAATAACGTCTGAAGTAGGGTAGGATTCAAATGTGAAGATGGTAAGAATTTGAACTAGAATTTGAAACAGATTTAACACCTAAGCATTTGAGTGACCATCAGCATATGTTTTGAATAAACATTAGCATCTCAATGGCAGGCACAATTAACTTTAATCATTCAATCTGCAAACATTTTTTACCATATTTTTAACATTATCAAGATAGTTCCATTTGTTACAATTTTTAACTCTGCCTGAAAGCTTTGAAATATCTAAGAGTTTACATATAGTGTAATGTTTCAGAGTCCCTGGATATGAGTTCTGGTTTCTTGTGTGACTTTAGTAAGTATTTTTCTTTGTGACTAAAATACCAATTGTTTAAAATTAGGATAGTAACTGATTCATAGGGCACAATACATGTCATTTAGTGCTTTAGTCCCATCCAAAACTCATGTTGAAAATTAACTGTAAGTGTAATAGTATTGGGAGGTGTGATTAGGTCATGATGGCTCTGGCTTCATGAACAGATTAATATAGTTACCATAGGAGTGAGTTAGTTATCTTGAGGGTGAATTCTTAATAAAAAGATAAGTTTGCTCCATTTTCATCTGTCTCATATATTCTTGCCCTCACTTTTGTCATATGATACCTTCTCCCAAGTTATGATATAGTAAAAAGGTCCTCAACAGATGCAGCCCCTTGGACTTGGACTTCCCAACTTCCAGAACTGTGAGCCAAATAAACTTTCCTTTATAAATTACAGTCTGAGGTACTCTACCATAGCAACAGAAAACTGACTATTAATAATAGTAATATTACTTAAGTAGAAATAAGACACTATTCAAAGAAAAAAAGCATGTAAGACTCAGATGTCAAATGTTTTAGGAGGCAAATATAACGTACAGGAATTTCCTGCATATTTGATGCTCATGGCAATACTAATTACCTGTGAGAGACTATGAAGTAGAAGGCAAAAAATTGAAAATAAAGGTATTGAATCTTCTAAGGATCTGAGACCTGAAATAACTATAGAAGGGGCATGGGCTTTCTTCTTGACAAAGTCATTCACAGAATTAATAGGAATGATGGTGATGACAGTGGTTTACGTGTGTAGAGATTTTCACAGTATTTACAGATGATGTTGTCCATTGTAATATCTCCTTTTTCATTTCTGACTAAGCTTATGTGGGTTGTTTCTCTTCTATTCCTGGTTAATCTAGCAAGAGGTCTATTCATTTTGTTTATCTTTTCAAAGAACCAACTTTGTGTTTTTCTGACCTTTTGTATAATATTGTATTTTTTTGTTTTTCATTTAATTTAGTTCTGCTCTGATCTTTGTTATTTGTTTTCTTCTGCTGGCTTTGGGTTTGATTTGTTCTTCCTTTCCTAGTTCCTTGAGATGTGACATTAGGTTGATAATTTATGATCTTTTTGTCTTTTTTGATGTGGGCATTTAAGGCTATGAATTTTCCCCTTAAGAATGCTTTTGCTGAATCCCATAGATTTTCATAGCTTGTGTCCCCTCTGCTGTTCAGTACAAATAATCTTTTGATTTCCACCTTAATTTCATTATTGAAATTTCATTATTGAAATTTCATTATTGAAATTTCATTATTGACCCAATAATCATTTAGCAGCAGGTTGTTTAATTTCCATGTCTTTCTGTAGAATTGAGTGGTTCTCTTGGAATTGATTTCTAGTTTTATTCCAACATGGTCTGAGAAGATACATGGTATGATTTCAATTTTTTAAAATTTGTTGAGACATGTTTTATGACCTAAGATATAATTAATCTTGGAGAATGTACTGTATGCTGTAGACAAGAATGTATATTCTTAGGGCATAATGTTTTGTAAATGTTAGGTCCATATGTTTTAGTGTCTAGTCTTTGGGCATAATGTTTTGTAAATGTTAGGTCCATTTGTTTTAGTGTCTAGTCTTTGGGCATAATGTTTTGTAAATGTTAGATCCATTTGTTTTAGTGTCCCATTTAAGTCCAGTGTTTATTTTCTGCTATGGTGATTTGTCCAGCTCTGACAGTAAAGTGTTGAAGTCTTCAGCCTGATGCTATTTCCTTGCTTAGCTCTAGTAGAATTTGTTTTGTGTATCTGGGAGCTCCTGTGTTAGGTGCATATATATTTAGGATTATTATGTCTTCTTGTTCATGTTGGGTAGTATCTTATTGCTTTGTTTTCCCTCTTGTGCTATTGTTTTATAAGAGTTGTGAACTTTAGCTTTTTTGGGTGATTTTACACTGGTGGTTATCTATTGTGCTGATTCAGTTCATAGTATTTCCTGAAGGGCAGGTCTGGTCATGACAAATTCCCTCTCTGTCTGCTTGTCTGAAAAAAGACTTATTTTCACTATCAATTGTGAAAGTTAGTTTTGAATGACACAAAATTCTTGGCTGGCAGTTGTTCTGCTGAAGAAAATTGGCAATAGGGCCCCACTTCCTTTTGGCTTGTCAGGTTTCTGGTGAAAAGTCTGCAGTTAGCCTCATGGGTTTTCCTGTGTAGGTTATTTGTTGTTTTCATCTTGCTGCTTGTAGAATTTTCTCCTTCATTTTGATTTTGGCTAGGTTGATTATTATGTATCTTGGAGATGCCCTACTTGCAATGAATCTTCCCAATGTTCTAGAACCATCTTGTATCTGGATGTCTGGATCTCTGATGATATGAAGGAAGTTTTCCTCAATAATTCCCTTAAGTATCTCTTCTGTATTTTTAGCTCTTTCTTCTCCCCCATCAAGGATAACCTGTAATTTTGTGTGTTTGTTTGCTTACACAATCCCATATGTCTCTGATTGTTCAGCCTTCTCTACCTCTTTAAATGACTGGGTTAGCTCAAGAGCCTTGTCTTCAGGTTCTGAGTTTCGTTCTTTTCCTTGGTTTAGTCTGTTGCTGAAGCTGTCTGCATCTATAAAATGGAGATAAGGCCAGTCTCACAGATTTGCTTTACCTCATAGATCACAGACTTATAATGATTAAATAAGAAGTATATGCTAAATTGCTTAACAGAATGCCTGGGGTAGAAACATCCAACAAAAGTAGTTTTAAAGAAACCTAATTCTGATCATCATAAAGATACAAAGAACCCAAGCTATGCATAATAGTACTTGTCTAAATATACTAAGTTGAAAACTAAAAGGAATATGAAAAGAAGTTCCTTATGTAGAACTACTTTTGTCAAGTGTGGAATATGCCAATACTGCCTACTGCCATTTTGCTGCCCTCTTTTAGTCTTGTCTGTCTTTCTTACCTCTGTATTCTTTACATTAAACTTACATTACATTTTCTTAAAGTCTACCACTGACTTAGAACTATTTATAAACATATTGGCTGTATACCGCTTTGTACTTTACATACCAAGAAAGAGTGGGAGAGATGTTATATGTAATATATATATATAATATTTGTACTCTCTGGCTACATAACAAACCATATTGCTTTTTCAGTTTTAACTTATTTTAAATTTTGTTTTATGGGGTGGGGAAAATTGTGTCATTTAGTGTGGAAAAGTAGTGTGAATATCCATATCCATTCTCAACTTACTGATAATTTACATTATGAATGCCACTCCTACATCACTTGCTGAAACATCACTTATGTGTTTGTCACTTTTTTGCCCTGATTAATCAATTTACTTATTTAAAAAATTTGTACTTCATAATGAACAAGTCAGTTATCTGTAACTGAGATTTTTCTAACATACTTTAAAGAAAGCTTTCAGTATTAAGTTTGAAGTGAGATGTTGAGTACAATGTTGTTTTTTGAAACATTTTTCAAATTCATTGACTTTGCGTTGTTACTTCTCAGTGTAAATTTTCTGGTGCTTAATAGTTCTGGAGCTGTTGTTAAAGGCATCTCATGTTTAGTACACTCATAGAGTTTCTAGTTATGAATTCTATGATGCATACTGAAGTTTCGCTCACTGACTCAAGGTTTTCTTATTCCATTAAAACAATTTCCATTCAACATGAATTCTCTGATGAACTATGAGAGTAGATTTTTTGCTGAAGGCTTTTCTACAATCATTTCATTCATAGGGTTTTTCTCCAGTATGTATTCTATGATGTCGAGTGAGGTGTGACTTCTTCCTAAAGGCTTTTCCACACTCACTGCATTCATATGGCTTGTTCCCAGTATGTATTCTCTGATGCACAATAAGTTGCGATTTCTGAATAAAAGCTTTTCTGCATTCACTGCATTCATGGGGTTTCTCTCCAGTATGAATTTTCTGATGTTGCATGAAGTGTGAATTCCGAATGAAGGCTTTCCCACATTCACTGCATTGATATCGTTTGTCTCTGGTGTGAATTCTCTGATGTATGATGAGATCTGATTTCTGGATAAAGGCTTTTTTACATTCGTTACATTCAAAAGGTTTCTCCCCAGTATGAATTCTGTGATGAACATTTAGTCCTGACTTCTTTTTGAAGGCTTTTCCACACTCATTACATCCATAGGGTTTCTCCCCAGTATGAATTATTTGATGTACAATGAGCTGAGAACGCAAAACAAAGGCTTTCCCACATTCATTGCATTCATTTGGTTTCTTCCCAGTATGAGCTCTTTCATGCACACTAAGTGTTGACTTCTTGACAAAAGCTTTCCCACAGTCACTGCATTCATATGGTTTCTCCCCTGTGTGACTCCTCTGATGAATAACGAGGCTTGACTTCTGGATGAATGCTTTCCCACAGTGACTACATTCATAAGGTTTCTCTCCTGTATGTGTTCTCTGATGTACAGTAAGTTGTGGTTTCTGGATAAAGGCTTTTTCACATTCATTACATTTGTATGGTTTTTCCCCAGTATGAATTCTCTGATGTATAATGAGTCCTGACTTTCCACTGAAGGCTTTTCCACACTGTATACATTTATATGGTTTCTTTCTTATAAGAATTCTAGGTTGTGCAAAGAGGTGTGACTTCTGTACAAGGGTGCTCATATGCTCATTAGCTGTTCTGTTCACAGGAATTACTTTCCCCAATACATTATATTCATGGTCTATCTCCTCATTCAGTGACTTATGGTTAAATACAACTTGGTTCAAAATCTTGTCTTGGTTTTCCTGATGATTTAGTTCATCTTCAAGTTTCAAGTCTTCAAAAACTGAGTATGCTATCATATTATAAAGTATCTCTTCAGAAATACTCTTTTGTGGAGTTAATTCTTTACTTTTGGGTCTAACTTCATAGTCTGAAAGAAAGCCCAAGTATAAGTGATGTTAAAGTGAAGACAGTCAGCTTTGAAATTTAAGAATATGATCCAAAGATAAAGAATAAAACCTAAAGATAGAAGAAGAAATGAAAATAAAAAGAAGTAGGTAGGGGAGTAGTGGGGAAAAAAAGAGTTGATGAACTCAGTGTCACAGTTCCACACTCTTCCACCTCACCCCCACTCTACCACATCAGTCTGTAACTAGCAAAGGCAGATCAAAAAATAATTGCAGGAAAGACAGAGGAATGATGCTAACAAAGGGGACTGAGGATGAGCTGAAGTGACCAACAGAAAGATTAAATACACATTCAATCTAGAAATACTTACAAAATAACCAGGCAATTTAGAGCACAGCTACAGGAAAAGGATTTTAAAGTACATGCATTTTAAAGCATCAGATAACATAAATAGGGCTGGTTACAGGATGGAACATACTCTATCTAAAAGAACAAGCATAGTTCAGAGGGATAACAAAGGTTAAAAAGAAAGAAGTACCCTGTAGTCATTTGGTGGTAGAAATAGGGAAAAGAAGAAAAAGGGGAAATTTTAGAGTCCTGCAAAACAAAAGAGAACCAGAAAACTCAAAACTCCTTCCCCATCACAGAAAGAGGAAGTAAGGAGCCCTGCTATAGTTCTTGAACTTTGCTGTGTTAACAGAAAAGGGCTCCATAAAATTAAAAATTTTGTAAAAACACCATGATATGATAATAATGAACAGAAGAAATAAACAGTCCATAGAGAACTGTTATGGAAAATCAGGAAATGTACAAAAATCAACAGCGAATATTGTCCCCCACAAAAAAACAAAGACACTGTGCATGTAACTGAAGAAAATTTTTTGTCTATATTCCAAAGATAATTAAATATACTCAAACAAGCAGTGGAGGACATGGCAATTGCCATGAATTAGAACTTCAAAAAATAAAATGGAAATAAAAAACAGGGAGAAATAAAAAAAAATTTCCCTTAAAATACTCAGAACAAAAAATATATAGGAGAAAACAGATGTGATAAGATTCTAAATTGTTGATAATCATTGAGGCTGGGTTAAGTAAATGGAAATTCTTTATGCAAGCATACTACTTTTGTGTATGTTTCAGAATTTCCATACTATCACATACATATGTGTGTGTTCACCTGATTTTGAAAAAATACATACATACATACATACAGGAAGGATAAAACAGAAAGCAATATAAAAACGGCTATAAATAAATGACAGATGTTGAAGGAAACAAAGTGAAGTGATAGGAATGAAAGACTTTTGTGAGAATATCTTTCATATAGTTTTATTTTTTTAACCATGGAGATATTTTGTTTTCCAAAAATTAAAATTAAGTTAAAAAGGAAAAAAATAAAGCTCTGAAAAACAAACTGAAAAAAAATGAATTAACCATATGTTACATTGATAAATAACTACAAAAGAGTATAATTATTCCAAGTGACCTTTGAACACTATCCTTTAACTGTATGTCTTCAGTGAGATATTTTCTAAGAACACAAAGAACTGCAATGAAATTTTAAAACTCATTAATTACTTCTCTCTCACACAGTAAAATTGGTATTTTAACATTTAACTATGCATATATACATTAGTATAAAGCTAATACTTTGTTAAGATTTTAGATATAAGAGAAAAGATATATGAATATAAAAGCAAAGAAAGAAAAAGAATATTTCAAGGATCTATAGGAATCTTACTTCCCTGCCTCCCATATGCTAGGTTCTCACTTACCTGGATAGGGCCAACTTGAGATTTCTCTCTCCTCCATCCATGGTTCTCCTGGCTTCAACAAGATTACATTTGCCTTCACAGATCGATACCCTGCTTATGGGAAATGATACAGGACTTCGGCATTTGTGGACAACCATCGTTCCTAGAAGTAGGCCTGTTACGTATGCACCAGAATGGCTACTGACATTACCAAAGGTTGCGGAAACTCTCGTATATTGCTGATGGGATATAAATTGGTATAACCTCTTTGAGAAACTGTCTGGTAGTATCTACTAAAGCTAAATATACATATGCATTATAACTCAGCAATTCCAATCCTATGTATATACCCAATAAAAAGGAAATACTTTTTTCTACCAGAAAATATGTATAAGACTGTTCTTAACAGCTTTATTCATTATGGCTCAAATCTGAAACAACCCAAATGACCATCAAAAGTAAGATGGATAAATTGATGAATTACTATATACTTATTAAATGCAACATAATGTAAAAATAAGGTGGAACAAACTACTACTACATGTGACATCATGAATGAATTTCACAGATATTATGTTAAACAAAATATGCCAGACAACAAAAACTTACATAGCATGTGATTCCACTTACATGAAGTTCAAGAACAGACAAAGTTAATCTATGGTGATAAAAGCCAGAATAGTTGTTACCTCTGAGAAGGTAAATGGCAAGGGCCTCTAGTGAACCTGCCAGAGTGCTAGATACGTACTATATCTTGATCTCGGTAGTGGTTACACAGGTATACACATATGAAAAAAATGTATCAAGCTACATAAGATTTGAACACTTCACTATATTTATTATACCTCAGTTAATTTATATAAACTAAGAAAAACTTGGGCTCAGTCTATTGTCTTTAGCTTTCAAAGAGAAAGCAGGAGGAAGTGCCCATTTTCTTTTTATTTAAGTTCACTGGAGAGGTGGAAGCACAGAATTTGGTACAAAAAAATTAATATTATTTTGACACTTACAGCTTAAAACCAAGCTCATTAACATTCAGAGACCCAAATGCTTTTAGTAAATAAAAAAGAAAAGGTAGTCAATTAGGTACTCTCGGGTTTCATATTCGTTCATAAATTCTTTGACATTCTTCCCTTCAAGAGGTGGCGCTGAATTCTCCAACCCTTGTGCATGGGCTAGACTTAGTAACTCACTTCTAATAAACACAATAAGGTAGAAGAAATGGTACGATTATAAAAAAGGCAACTTCCTCTTTGTTCACTCTCTTGGATCATTCCACCTGGGGGAAGTTATCTGCCATACTATGGGAGAGGCCATAAGATGGCGAGAAACAAATAAAGGCTCCTGTCAACATTTCTCTAAATGAACAATCTAGGGAATGGACCTTACAGTTCCAGTCAAGTTTTCAGATGAATGAAGCTCCTGCAATATCTGACTGCCACCACAGGAGAGAACACAGCCAGAAGCACTTAGCAAGTCATTCTAAATTCCTGACCTACAGGTAGTGTTAGTAAAGAATGTTTGTTTTAAGTCACTAAATTTTGGGCTGTTACATAGCAATAGGCAACTAACACAAGTACTCTCTGAGACAGAACATCCTTACCCACTGAAATAAGGTTGGTATAGTTCTCCAGCATCACATCCCTGTATAGGTTTCTTTGAGCAGAGTCCAGCTGCTGCCACTCCTCCTGAGTGAAGTCCACAGTCACATCCTTGAATGACACGAATCCCTGTAACAGGACATTTCTGTTCAATCTAGAGCAAAACACACCAGGTAATGTGTAAAAGATGTATGGGAACTTACTACTGTTTTCAATATGCAGAGTTCATTGTAGTAAGTTAAAGAAGATGTTTACTATGAAGCCAGGTTTGAGTTCTACTATGTGGGAAAAGCAAAATTCATGTTTAAAAAAAGAAAGAAAGACATAGGGACAACATGGGGATGCACAAAAACAAGGAATTTTGAGTACTTTAGAATAATGCTCCCACACATATTTATTCACGTACCACCTTCACAGTTTTTACTATATCTGCATGTCACCTGCACTATTATTGAGTTAATAGTTTTAACTCAACTTAACATTTTTACTTAAATAAATGTATTTTAAAAGGGAAAATCAATGTCACATGTCATAAAACAAAGATAACAACAAAAATCTACAAACAAGTATATCCCACTGAAGTGCCATGTGTGGGATTTGCTTTAAAATCCCAAGAAAGAAAGGAAAGATGTGAGATTGGTAAAATATTGAGAATTATTGAAAATATATGAGGAAATATATGTGGTTTATCATACCATTTCTAAATTTTTATGCATGCTTGAATTTTTCCATTAAATTTTTTTTAATTAAATACCACATAAACTAATGTATTGAAAGTTTAAAATTTTTAAAAAGTATTATTAAATCTAATCAATCTAACTTAAAAATGCATACCTGGAGATAAAAAGGATGGAATAATTTATGATTAGTAATAAAGTACTAGTAAGCTCCTTGTTGCTTACTTTTCAAACCATGATTAAGTTCTATGCCAATAAGAGAATTTCATTTTTAAATTTGATATTAATCAAATCCAACCAAGATATTCCTGAAAGACAGTGTAAGAGGGAAAGAGCAGAATCAGCTAAAATACCTTGACTTGTGGTGTTTTTGAAATATTACTCAGCTATAGGAACAAAGAGCTAAAAGGAACAAAGTTCTGATACATACTATAGCATAGACAAACCTTGAAAACATTGTGGTAAGTAAAATAACTTAGACACAAAAGAACAAGTATTGTATGACTCCACATATATTAAAAATGTAGGCCGGGCGCAGTGGCTCACGCCTGTAATCCTAGCACTCTGGGAGGCCGAGGCGGGCGGATTGCTCGAGGTCAGGAGTTCAAAACCAGCCTGAGCAAGACCTCGTCTCTACCAAAATATAGAAAGAAATTAATTGACTAACTAAAAATATATATACAAAAAAAATTAGCCGGGCATGGTGGCGCATGCCTGTAGTCCCAGCTACTAGGGAGGCTGAGGCGGTAGGATCGCTGATCCCAGGAGATTGAGGTTGCTGTGAGCCAGGCTGACGCCATGGCACTCACTCTAGCCTGGGCAAGAAAGTGAGACTCTGTCTCAAAAAAAAAAAAAAAAAAAATGTAGAACAGACAAATTAATAGCCTCAGAAAGTAAAATAAAGGTAATTAGGGGCTAAGAGTGGGGAAGGAAGAATGGGGAGTTACTGCTTGATGGGTACAGATTTTCTGTTTGGGGTGATGAAAAAGTTTTGGAAATAGTGATGATGGACACACAACACTGTGAATATATTAATAATTAATGCCACTGAATTGTACACTAAAAATAAAGTGGCAAATTTAATATATATATTATCACAATAAAAAGGAATCTATTTGTTCAAGTTAAGTGTAAAATATCTACTAGAATATATATCCAAGTGGCAATAATGAGTAGGCAACTGGATTTCAACAGGATTACAGCTCCTCAGCCCAAAAACCAAGAAGCATGGAATTCAAGCTGAGAAAAGAGACGTAAGAAGTGGGGCAAGGGGTGTAATGGACAGTGAAAAAAATGAAGTCTCAATAGGTCAGAGGTGTAGAGGAAAGTGAAGAATTGTTGGAGTCAAGATACTAGAGTAAATGAGCTAGAAACATACAAATAATGGCCAGAGAGTGAAATACTTAGGGTACAGTTATTGTGAATTATGAATCTAGAATATGACTATGAGAGCTGGTGGTTGAGATGGGGTGGAAAAAAATGATCTCTGGAAATGAGGAAGTATATTGGCAACAATGGTATCTGACCCCACAAGTCCCCAAACTTTCAAAATCAGATACACTTTGTGTTTGTTTGTTTGTTTTAAAAGTAAGTACCATCAATAATATGTACCTTTTTAAAACACATAAATTACATACATGTACGTTAAATCTGATACATTGTTTATTAAAAGGATATAAACTATAAGTTCTCATATTTTCTTCCCAGACCCCAGTGGATCATTTTGCATATCTCCCATGGAATGTACACTCTCAACTCTGAAGACTACTGTACTGAAGCTATATGCTACATAATGGGTATAACCAATAGAGTATTATAGGCAAAAATTAAGTAATATGTACACTTCAAATAAAAACATTTAAAACTATATGACAATTACAACCACTATGATGCTGGGTAACAGTATTTAGTTAAGTGATAAAGCAATGAGAGTGAGCACATTCATTTGATCTCCACTACCCAACAAGCATGCTCACTTGATATGCACTTCAAGGCTCTCAACCCATTGCATTTTAAAGAAAATATATTTGATTATTTATTGGTTAAAAATTACAAATTAAAGTTGATGTTATGATTATTTTTAATAGCTGAATTCCCTGGACCAATTTCACATACTCCAAGGGTTGACAAATGCTGCACCAAAAATTATAGATTTTGTTCTTAGATCAAGGCAGACTGACAAAAAGGTAATTACTTCAGCCTCATAATTGTACTGTGCAGAAGAAATGAATTCATTGGATTTTGCCTTATTATTATGCCCTATATTTAATTTGGGAAATGGGTTAAGAAAGAGATATGAAGAAACCTGCTATGGAATTTATCACTACATAAGTATACAGACCCACAAAGAGAATAAATTCAAACCTAAATACCAAAATATCTTTACTTCCTTTGAGAATTTATCATATTTAATGTATAATTTAAGTTATATAATTGCAGATGATATGCTCAACTTTAACTACGAAATATCCTATAAGTTGTATGACTATGTTCCAAGTTACTATGAAAATAGAAATGTCTTCTATTTTCTTATTATTTTCTCTGCTCTCTATTTACATTTTTTCATTTAATTAATTCTTTTAAACTGCCTCAACTGCACTGGAAAACAAAATGGGGTATACATAGTTCACTTACCTGAGACTTGGTCATTTTCTGCTGCTCTTCACAAGGGGAAGATACCTGCAAAGACAAGGCTGGGATGAGCAGGAAGGGGATAAATCTCTAGGATCAACTCCATAAAAGACTACCTTTGGAGACTGCCCCTTTCACAGGTTTCTTTTACAGAGACCACAGAGGATTACACGGTGATAAGGATTACATGGTGATAACATCAACCTATTAATGTAAAGTTCTAAAAAGATCAGGACATAATATATCTTTCCTTTGAGGATGGGAATGTTTATGTTCCCTTCTATGTTAAAAATTATTCTCCTGGCCAGGCGCGGTGGCTCACACCTGTAATCCTAGCACTCTGGGAGGCCGAGGTGGGAGGATCACTCCAGGTCAGGAGTTCAAAACCAGCCTGAGCAAGAGTGAGACCTCGTCTCTACTAAAAATAGATACAAATTAATTGGCTAAATAAAAATATATAGAAAAATTAGCCAGGCTTGGCGGTGCATGCCTGCAGTCTCAGCTACTTGGGAGGCTGAGGCAGAAGGATTGCTTGAAGCCAGGAGTTTGAGGTTGCTGTGAGCTAGGCTGATGCCACGGCACTCTAGCCAGGGCAACAGAGTGAGACTCTGTCTCAAAAAAAAAAAAAAAATTTCTTCTCCTTTGACCCCAGAAATCTATAATTAGATATTTATTATAACAAAATAAATGTGGACATGCACAAAGTTACATCTACAAGGATATTCATTACAATGATGATTTATCACCTAAAAGTAGAAACTACCTAGATGTCCAACAACAGAGATTGATTAAATCAATTACAGAAAGGACAGAATGCCACAAAGTCATTAAAAATGTCTTGGAAAAATATTTACAAACTTGGAAATTTTTTCTAGTTGTATTATAAAACAAGAGAAATAATCATAAAATGATATATAATATATGATCACAGTTAGAAGGAAAAGTACCTGAAAAGACATCAATATGCTTATGGTTACCTTTGGGTGGTAGGATTATAAGTGATTTCTACTGAGTTGCATTTGGCATTTTCAGTTTCCAATTTTTCTATAATAAATGTATATTACTTTTGAAATTAAAAATAATTATTTTTAGCAGCTATTTTCCAACTGACCCCTTAACCAAAGCTTTACCAAGTAAGTTATAAAGGGCACAATTCACAAAAGGGCTGCCCACATCTTTCTGGTCACCTCTGGGATAGTAGCTGTCACCATGGGGCAGATGAGAAGTGCTGCTTGTCTTCTATACCGCTGCGTGACGAAATGCATGGGTTGTGCAGATACGCTGTGTAGCCACACTCATCACTAGGTCTTATTTTTGGTGTAGGGCTTATATTGTGCAAATGCTTAGAAATCCTGCCAGGGCTTATTTTATGGGTAGGTCTTATTTTTGGGGAAACACGGTATTACCACTCTGAAATTCTATAAAATAAGAATTAAAGGGATTTTTCCCCTATCCTGATAAGGGTAGAAGAGGAATCAACATTTCACTAAAGGCTAGTTGTGATGATGGAAACGATACAGGAAGAAATAAAAATCTAAAACAGACAAGGCAAGTGAAGGAAGAGACGCAGCATGTGTGAATCCTCAGGAAGGGGAAACCATACACTGGGGTCTGGGGATCCTTTTCCATCTATACCAAGAATCCATTTTACAGCAAGTCTATCCCTGTGTCAGTCTCCCATTTTCAAACCCTGACCATCCCATAATTCTCACCTCTCCTACATCTTTGGAAATGAAATTCCTCATTACAACACAGTCCATCACCTAGCTTTCCAGACCTAAAATTATTAGTGCATATTCTGTCCAGTAATTCTTCTCTCTCCCAAAACTCCAGTGACAACTCTTAAATCTAGGATGCCTCCTCTTCCTGACCTCAAAGCACCCATCCCATTTTTTTCCTATTCCACTGAGACCTGGTAACTTGGGGGCAAATTCACATATCTTCACTCAGGGTCCCAGATCTCTGTGTCTCTCAGGGAACTCATCCTCAAGTTATTGACTGGGCTCTCCACAGTCTTAAAAGGGATGCTAGGGACACAAAACAGCTAGAGACAGAGGGCACAGTGGCTTTAATTTGGTAATCTGATTCAAGGGCTTTGGAGAGAATCTGAAATGTAATGTTTGTTTGGTGAGAGTCATTGGCATACCCTTTTCAAACCTATTCTAGGGTTGTTTACAAGGCCAAATTTCAGGAAGGATACATAGTAGTTAGTCAATTCTGTGGTTTAGACAGGGTCAAATACTGGAAAGACAATTAAGATTTGGAGTAAACATGAACTTAAGCAGAAATTCTTAACCATACAATACTAGCAAGTGTTTGAGTAAGACTATCTCATTTCTCTGAATCTCACAATCCTCTGTAAAAGTAAGGATGGCAGATCTTACCTCACAAGATTACTGTGATGACTAAAAAAGACTCTACATTTTTAAAAGTGTCTAGCACCCTGCCTTGCAATAATAATAACCTAACATTTATGTAATGTTTAATACCTGCAAGGCAATGTCCTACACATACAGTATCTCATTTATTCTTCAAAATCACTCTAGGAATTGGGTACTATTTTCATCTCCATTTTTCTAATCTATTTTTATTTTCAGCTAAAGCATATACATAATTGTAAAGCCTTAAAATGAAAGACAATAGTTTTCTACCTTACACCTCCCCACTAAGTCCTGCTCCCCAGGGCCAATCACTTTCAACTCTTAGTAGTTTCTTCCATTTATCACTGCATTTCTAAAAAACATGGAAATATATATATATATATATATGTAATCACCATTTCTTGATTTATCAATTTTAAACACTATCTATTGGGTTCTTAGAATTGAATTTGAGGATTTGACACTCTTATACCACCACCTTCATTTCCTATCACATCCCAATTTTGGTAAAATCTACTTTCAGTGTTTAGAATATTATAACTATATGTAATTATTGTACATTTCTTTCATGTACAACTTTTTGTTTTTCCCAGACTTAATTTTTGTCCTAATATCTTAGTTTTATATAAACCTATCTGCACAGCAGACATAGCACCTTTACATAGTGTCAAACATTATATAATTCATTAGATCCCCTCTTTTCTCCTCCAAGAATCTTCTGTTCTTCCTGCTCCTAATAGGACTGTTTACCCAAGGTTTAGACCACAGAGTTAGCATAGCACTAATTAAAATGACCTTATCCCTTCTCTGCCTGGTAAACTGTTGTTCCTTCAAGGTGCAGTTTAAATGTCACCTTCTCTAGAAAGCCTTTTCAGATACCTCTGTGACAGAATCAGCCACTTCTTCCTCTGACATCCCTACAGTGTTCGACATTTTGATACAGGGTTTTCCTGATACAGGCTTAAGGCAAGGAATGATGCAGACTGAACTAAAACCAGGGCAGTGGGAATGGGGAGGAAAATCAGAGAGATGTCAATGAGGCAGAAACACCAGGATTTGACCACTAATTGGTTAGGGGGAAAGAATGGAAGGAGGAAACTACATGTCTCCAGGGTGTTTAGTATGGCCATCTGGATGAAGAGTGATGCCACTCATCATGATGTAGAAGGCAGTATGATGAGCAAGTAGAGTAGGGTGATGGAAGATGATAAACTGTTTTAATATTTTAAACATGTTATGATTAAGAAGTGTGTGAGTAAACCTCATGGAGGTGTCTACAAGACAGTTGGCTATGTAGAGCTGGAGCTTGGAAGAAAGGTGTGGGCTGGTGCTATAGACTGGCAAGTCTTGAGTTTAAAGGTGGAAGCTGATACAAAGAATGTGGTTGAATATGGCTAGATAGAGCACATAGACTGAAGGGCAGGGAAAAGGCATATGAGCTTTAATAAAGAGTTTTTGAAGAAAGACTTGAAGCACTCTGCTAGCAATAAGACAGTAGGATCTGAGAATGAAACTACTTTAAGTCTTTTCAGGAGATCTATCCAAGGGTGGATGCAGAACCTCTGGGGGAAGGATGGGAACTCCAACCCTACTCTCACATACTTATAGGCATAAACCCACACAAGAAAACCCAGAGCACAATATGTGGAGAGTGCAGCCTGAATGTAAATTGTTTTAATCAGGGCTGAATCTCAATCACTGATCATGCTCAGCCTTCTCCCCAAGCTATCACACAGGCTCCTAATAGTTGTCAAGTACGGCCCCCATTTACTGATCTCCCCACTAGGTTCCTAAAATAACCCTAATGACAGCTGTCCCCCTTCAGGGCAGCACATGACCTCCAAACGGTGACCCTGAGAGACCCAGAATCACTCACACAGACACGCCCGATCACTAAGCCCCACGAATCCCCAGTCGGTCGCTGACCCTCTTCAGAACTCACCACTGAGAACACCACTAAATAATGAGCCCCACGGGGCGGCGATCACTGTCTGGGACAGGTCCCCTTAATTACTAACCACCACAAGGTCCGCAATTACAGGCCGCTACAGACGCTCAATCGCGGCGCAAACATGACGCCCTAACCAGCGCCTGACTCTTCTCAGAGCCGGACACCTCAACTTCCCACCTCTCCTGCAAAGCCCTCAGCGGATCGCTCTGCGCCGGCTCCCTCCGCTGTGAGGCTGCGGAACTCCTAGCGTTCCAGAGGAAGTTGGTGCAGCCTGTGACTTGCCTTTATCGCGAGACTTTCCAGCAGTAAACGGGAATTGACATGGCCGCGCCCATGGAGAGGAAAGTGTGACGCAGCGGGTAGCGCCATATTTCGAGTAGGTGTTGGTTCCGTACAGAAGAGCATTTTTACAATAAGAGCCGGGAGGCGGGAGGCGAGAACTGGAATGCGAGAGCTATGGGAAAGGTGTACGGGGACAAGGCGGGAGCAGTGACATAAACTAGGAAAGAATTAGAGGTATCCGAGGATGAAGTTGGGGTAACTATCTAGCTAAGATGTACAGAAAATGAGAACACAGCGGAAGGTGCAAAGCGCAAAGATGAGGAAGGGGACTAGGGGACAAAGGAAGCCCCCCAGTTATTATGCGCATGAGAAGAGTGAAGTTCAGAGGGTTTAAATCAGTCGATCTCGGTCGCATTGCCTCACTTTCCCAATTTGAGGTATAATAATAATAATAATAGTAAATGTTTATTGAGCACTTAAAGCATGTTCACTGAGATAGGTTATTTAATTTAGGCTTTAATTGAGGTGGAAAAGTCAAGAAGGAGCAATATTCTCCTTGAGAGATGGCACTGGGAGAGGGAAGTTAGAAGTTAGCTGGTGAACTCCAGCTAATCATCCTGGAAAATGAAATTCAAGTGACCTCTCCTGGGAAGCTTTCTCTGATGGGGATGGAAAGTCTCTGTCCCCTGCTAAAGACAGGTCAGATAGGAGCAGAGGGGAAGAGTTTGGGCGAAGACTAAAGGACGATTCATAACCTCTAGATCCTCCTCACAAACTGGTCTTGAACTTGCTCTTTGGCCACGAGCCAGCCACTTTCCCTCGTTAGCTCTCTGTTCTCTCATTCGTAAAGTAGACAAAGGTTGTGAAATACTCATTTGATTCAATGTTTGCTGATGTAAAAAAGGAAGTTTTGGTGCCAGAGAAAAACACTTTAGAATCTACATAGTTTGTTAATAATAAATACAATATAATGTTATTGCTACAGAATGTCCAGTGCTAACTAATGCCTGAATACACTACAGATTCTCAGAGTTCACCAAGCTCTTTAAAACCAGCCATCATGGACTTCATGCATCTGGAATGTCCTTCCCAACCATATGCCAGGAAAACTACTCAAAGCTGCCTCCAACGTTCCTTCCCTCTAGGCTTTTATTCCAGAGCCCTGAGCACATGTTCTTTTTAATGGGCATAGCTGCATATGCTGTCCTCCATCACAGACCTGGTCACCTGGAACTGGGATTTCTTGTGTTTGTGTCTTCCTCCCACTTTGTATATGCTATGATTTGAATGTTTGTGTCCCACCAAAATTCATATGTTGAAATCTTAACCACCAAGGTGATGGTATTAGGAGGTGGGACCTTTGGTAGGTGATTATGTCATGAAGGCAGAATAAATGGGATTAGTGCCCTAATAAAATAAGCCTGAGAGGCCTTTGCCTCTTCTGCCAAGTGAGAATACAGGAGGAACCAGAAAACAAGCATTCACCAGATAACAAATCTATTGGCACCTTGATCTTAGGATTTCCCAGCTTCCAGGACTGTGACAAAATGAATATCTGTTATTACAAGCCACCCAGTCTTTGGTATTTTGTTATAGCAGCCCAAATGGACAGTCTGAGAGCTACTCAAGGCAAGACTGTGTTGGAATCTATGCTTTTTTGTTCAATAAACATTTATGTCTGCTGACTCTTCCTCCATAATGTAAGCTCATCC